GCTGCCACTGAGTGCCTGAGGCCCGGACGCTGAGTCCCTGAGTACCTGAGGCCAGAGGCCTACGGGTCCTTTGCTGTGAAACTTGGCAAAACGCGACATTTTTATTTTTGCTGGCAGACTATGGTAACCCGATAAAGCTGCACGGAAACCTCTATTTTTGCAAAAGGAAACTTAGAACGGACGACATTTTTGCTGCCAAACTTGGAAAAAGCAATATTTTTGCGATTGACCCTTCGCAGGGGCCAAGCTTCTCTTCTCTGTGTCCTTCCAATTTTAACGGATGTCCCTCCCTCCCTTCCTCCTTTCGAAGGATAGGAGTTATTATATAAAGCCGAGTCTTCTGAGTAGATCGAAGCTGTGCTGTGGCACTCGGAGGATGTTGGACAGTATCACGGGATTAGAATCGTAGCATGCGTTTCTGAAAGCATGGCGATTCTCTCGTCGGTACCTGTTTACTCTTGATCGCTGCACTGGCGAACCTTCTCTCGACTACAGATCGAGCTGTACGCGGCTCTGCGAGCGGGTGCTTGGACCAGAGGGTCATGCAGCCGTCTGCAATGTGTAGTGAGTCGTGCAGACGAGCACTCTGAGCTGCAGCGGCAGCGGGCGAATCTGATTGACGCTTTCTCTGTCTGGATCGCGACAGGCAATTATCCTCGTTGGATAAGCCTCTGCAAAGGAAAGTCAGCGCTTTTGAGTGAAGAGTGAATCACGAAGCTAAGCTCTTGGGCCTGGCTCCATTACTGAACGTTCTACATGCTTCTGGACGACTGCTGGACCCGGTGCATCCGGAAGAATCCAACATTTTGTTTGGATAGGGAGGGAGGAGATTATGAGCTTTAAAAAAGATACGTACAGAGCGTTGTGTAATGGAGCGAGGCACGTTGTTCGCTCTTTAAGGCAATAGTCCTGATTGGCTTTTGAGGCAATTATCCTCCTCTTGAAGTTCGGATAAACGTGATTAGCCGGAGCTCGCGATCACTTTTTTGCAGCTGGCCAAGCCGGACGAAAGCAAGTTCAGCGGCTGGCACGTGGCGGTCACACAAGGCAGTACCTCGCTGGAGCAGGTGCTAGCTAAGTTCAGTGGATGGCACGTGGCAGACCATAGACGGCGGAGCTCGTACTGCAAGCACGCTCTACTTCCTCTTCGATTCGCTCTCGAGGGGTTGATCTGGAGGGGACGGGTGCACCGTCCTCTGCCGCTGCTGGAAGATCGATGAAGGCGGGAAACTGGCGCGAAGATTGGCGGGAAGATTGGCGGGAAGATTGCCTACCTCGTGCAGGGCGAGTGGAGACGTGGATGACAGCAACAGGCCCAGAGCGGCATCGTGTGTACAATTCCGCTGTAGGGAACATTAGCAGCGCGAGGATGGGGAGGAGAACGTGGACTCGGAGGAGGAGCAGCAGCAGCAGCAGCAGCAGCAGCCCTTCTCCTCGGACCTGTTGGGTTGCCTCCTTGGTGGTGCGCCAACGTAGATCGGGCGTCTTGGCGACGATCGCGATGGTCACCGCTATGGCGATCTTGCTCTTCGGTGGCAGCAGCAACAGCGGCCACGTGTCGTTCGTCTCGGCTGAACCCATCGGTCCGCCAGATTTCTTCAATTGCAACCCGGAATCCACTTGCTGCCTGCCAGTCCCTTCCTCCCCTCCCACACCTTTCGTCACCAACTCTTCCGCCCCTCTCCGCACACGTCGCGCAATCCACAACGTTCTACAGGATGCCACCTACCTTAGCAAACTCGACGCTGCATACGCCAGGCTCCGCGAATTAGAAAGCCAGAGTCCCAACGACCCTCGAGGACTTTTCCAGCAGCGCAATCTCCACTGCGTCTTCTGCTCTCGACCACCCGGCTATGGCGCACCCTTCAGCATGCACAACAACTGGTTCTTCCTCCCCTGGCACCGAATGCTCCTCTACTTCCACGAACGCATCCTTGCCTGGGCCGCGGGCGACCCTTCTTTGGCCCTTCCCTTTTGGAACTGGGACGACGATGCTCCTGCTCAGAGGGCCCTCCCCGCTGCCTATGGGAACCGCTCCTCCGCTCTGTACACCGTCAATCGCCGAGGAGGGAGGGATATCGCACGGATGCTGCAAGCGGACCTGACTACAGAGCAGCTCTTCAGAGAAATCGGCAACGTATCCGATTGGAGGATGGTGATGGGGAGCGCGACACGTGGCGGCGCGTTGGAAGATTATCCGCACGGCTTAGTACACAATGCCGTCGGGAGCGCCATGTCGCCGTTTCGCGAAATGGGTAATCTAGCTTGGGCGGGTTACGACCCGGTGTTTTATGCACACCATGCTAACGTGGACAGGATGTGGTCGGTGTGGCGGGGTTTGCCCGGGAGAGAAGATCCGGCGGCAGTGGACTTCGTCAACTCCGCGTTTGCCTTCTACGACGAGAACGCCATGGTCAAGACCATGACGGTCTCGACGGTCCTCGATCCCGCGACCAATCTGCGGGTCGTCTACGAGGATGTCACCGACTCGTGGACGCGTCCCAGTCGGGCGGACCGCGCCGCAGTTGCGCCAGCTCCTCCCGGAGGCAAGCCGCTGGCGGCACCTCAGACTTCTCGTGCCCCGGTGGTCGTTGAGGACCGGAACGTGGTTGTCGCGTTCGCGCAGTCTCCCGACGCCACTCCCGACCCTGGGGCAGTGCCGGAGCTGACCCTTCGCGACGTTCTACACGACCGTCCCGACCCCTTGGCGCTATACGTGTTCATCAACGACCCTGACGCTGACCTTGACACTCCTAGGGCGGGCAATCCCAACTTCGTTGGCGCGCGGTACCTCGTGGCCGGAGGAATGACCATGCCCGTCTCCTTCACTCTGCCAATCAGTCTAACTCTCGGAGCGCTCAATCTGACTCTGGGCAGCAATTTCACCGTCCAGGTGGTCCAAGGCGTGGATATCGGACTGCCCCTCCGTCAGCTGTCTATCCAGTCCATAGATTACGTGCATCAGCCAGGCGTGTAGAGGAACGCGGGGACGCAGCCATCCGGGTGGCATGTTCCATATTGTAGACAGCAGGCCTGGCAAAAGTCTGGTTGGGCTTTTTTTTTTTTTTTTTTTTTCCTACCTTCCTACCACTACTCCTAAGACTACATAGAGGGGGGGCAACTGGGTGTAGCTCAGTTGGTAAGGCGTTCAAGCGGCACTCAGGAGGTCGTGGGGTCAACTCCCATGGCCCCCACGATAGTGCCTGTGGCATGCTTGGCGTCTTACCTTCGAGACGGTCAGTTAGTAAGCAAGTAGGTGGTAGCTCAGTGGGCAGAGCTCCGGTGTTGCAACGGGGAGGTTGTGGGTTCGACTTTGTCGGCCCACAACTTCCCCTGAGCACAATTGGTTGGTGTAGGTTGCACCCCACGTACTTGTCCCGAGCCTGGCATAGCGCCCTTACAGACTAGCGACCTCGATAGGCTCAGTGGGTAGAGCTCTGATATACTAACTTGGAGGTCCTGAGTTCAACTCCGCCTATGCTCATTCATCATATCAGCTAAGGGATGATCCTCTATATGGTTTCGGGTGGGGACGTGTGCCTTTCCTGCGGGAAAGTTGATGTGGGATGGATGCTACTCTTTTGGGCAGGTGAGTAGTAAGGCGTTGGTTGGGTGCATGGTGATACCGTGGCAGTCCTGTGGTGGGGAGGGTTGCCTTGTAGGGAAACCAATGTAGAATCAAGAGGAGTGTCCTACTCTCAATGTCTGTGGACCCATTTCGGGGTGGTGGGTTATAAGAGGTAGGTTGGGGGTAGTTGTTAGACGACGGTCGAGGTCTCCACCATYACCACTGGTTGATTCTCCCTAGCGAACAGACATAAGCAAGGCTCATCAGTAGCAGAAAGCAACCACACACATCCACATAGACTATGATATCACATTAGCTCACATAACAACCAGCATACTCAACAACTAACAGTAGACATGTATGATCCGATCTGTGCTACGTTAGTGCTTAGAGGTGCTCATAGGTTAAGACCTTGGTTGGTTGACCATTAGACACTGCCTATGAGTGCCCTCACTATTCACGGGACTAACTGAGAACTATGTGCCTAGCTCCCGAGGTTCCTGTATAACGAGGCTTGTACGCTAGTGCCTCAACTGGGGCTGAATGGGGGAGCTCATTCAGCGTCGGTGCCCGCGTCCGCTGTCTGGTCAGGTTGCTCCAGTAGAGAGTGATGTTCCTCGCATGAGGTAAGATAGAAATGGAGTGGGGGTGCGCCAGGAGATATATCGAGAGGAGTGGTGGGATGGGAGTCTTGTGAGGTAAAAAAAAAAAAAAAAAAACAGACTATATAGAGGGGACCCCTGCAAGCGTAGGGCCTCGCAAACGAGGTAAATCATGTTGCCCCCCGCCCCAACAGCGGTAGTCAGAGATGGGGTGGGGCCGCCTGTGGGGGTCCGGCTAAAGCAAAGACGGAGCCTTTTGCCAGTAGCTGCGCCTCCCTTTCTCATCGTCCCCCACCCCTCATCCAGTAGCAGCAGAGGCTATGGCCAACACTCTCCCACACACCACACACACCCCACTCGCGCTCGCACTCACACTCGTGTTGGTCATAGACCCTGCTAATACCAATCAGGGGTATCCAGCGGACTATCACAGTCCGTTGGCACTAAGTGCGCCGCAGGCGGTCATGGGGCTTGAACCCACAACCTCCTGAATGATACTTGCATGCCTAACCAACTGAGCTAGTCTGGTTGGACTTTAGGTTTTGCTTGTGTTTTTTTTTTTTTTTTTTTTTCTTGTTCGTCTAGCTGTTGGATGCATTTGTCGATGACTGTCTAGAGGCCAGGTCTTACTATCTGTGCCAGCCCCTCCTACGCTCTTAACTTGTCGCCAGTACCTTGGGCTGCCCCCGACAGTGCTGCACATAGTAAGCTGAAGACAGTTCCGAGGTCTCACTATCCATGCCAGCCTCTCCTGCACTCCTAACTTGTGGCCAATACCTTGAGCTGCCCCGGACAGCGCTGCAAATAGTAAGGTGTTCCCAGCCATGAATGTGGGTGTCGGTAGAGTCCAAATGCATGCAGGGAGGGCGTAGGACGGTTTGTATGGCGTAAGGCATTTGTCATTTGTGTCTTCTGTTCTCTTCAGGGAACTTTGGAAGAGTGGCTTGAGGGCCATGGAGCAGGGCAAACAGGCAGGCTGAGCTCGGTCGGCGGGCTGTAAAGGGGGGGGGGAAGGGAGGGATGGACAGGGCAGGTGGTCACCCCCTATGGCGCAGGGAGTAGCACTCTGCGGTAGGGTAAACAGGCAGCTCAGTCGGGGGGTAGTTGTGGGCTGGGGAGGGGATGGGCAGGGCAGGTGGGAACCCACTCCCCAGGGAGGAGTACCATGTAGCCATGATGGGACGCTCATGCTGATAAGACTGATCCATGGATGTGGTGCAGATACGATGTTGTGGAGTTGAAACAAAGCATGAACTTGAGATAGTTATGCTCCCTCCCCTAAAAAAAGAGAGAAAACTTCTCCTAACAGAATGATGCCGTCTCTCTCTCTCTCTCTCTCTCTCTCTCTCTACAACACACACACACAGGTGCGGGCTTTGCCAACTGAAGTTGGCGATGCGCGCTTCATCCCTTGGGGGCCAACAACACCTTAGTCTTTTGGTGGGGACGAACAACACTTTCATCTTGTGGTTGGGGATGACCGATACTTTCATCTTGTGGTTGGGGATCACTGATACTTTACTCTTGTGGTCTGGGATCACCAATATTTTACTCTTGCGGTTGGGCTGAACAGAGCTTCTCAGTGTCATCGTTATTCTAGTATTGTGTGCTTTTTGTCCCACATGTTGGCTGTGGAGTTGCCGTAGGCATTTCTAGTAAGGGTATACAGACTGAATTTTCCATCTTTGCATGGCCAAATACAGCTGAGGAAGTCGGCAAACTCGGCACGCCGATGTTGGCGGAGAGAGGATTTGCCTCCTTTGTTCGCAGACACATGGAGGAGTCAGGAGGACTTGGCAATGGACTTAGTTGAGTGACTGATCTGCTATTGAAGTTATATACAGGGTTGCCAGGCCGAACGTACGGAGTCACTAATTTGTTTTCCTCTCTTTTCACTTTTTGTTTTTCCTTTATTTCGGGGCATGAAACAAATTATTATTTTTCAAACTTTATTTGTAGATTCGTTATGATGTAATATACACATATATAAATTTTCATGGCATTTGTCATAGCCAAAAAAAAATGAAAAATCGCCAAAGATGGCGGTGTCAAAAACGTGCTCGCCCACTCAATAATTTCATTCTCGTTTTTTTTTCGGGGGGGTAAGAACGTTCATGTCACCTTTGCGTAAGAAAACCGCACCTAGTTCGAAAAGGCAACGGAAGTACGGATGGCCGTGGTGTCAGACCAGGTGTCATATTTACAGGGGTCGGCCGTGGTGTCAGAGGGGAAACAAAAAAAAAAAAGAAAATGCCCGACGGATACTTTTGGACTGCAATCACTCATTTCGAGTTGACACATGGTTTCTTTGCCGGTGCGATTTTTTTTGCCTTTAGGGTTTCAAAACATGCCGCGTCTGCCGTTATTTCTTCTTTTTTTTAATTTTCATTATTATTATTTATTTTGAGTATTTGAGTTTTATTTCAAATTTGGTAAAGAATTTAGATGTAATGTTGAGGCAAATGTTGTTTAGTTTATTCTTCTGCATAACATATATATTTTTCAGATTTCTTTTTTTTTTTTTTTTTTGGGCCCGCGTTTGCCCGAACGGCCGAACGCGTCGAGAGGGGGTGCCGAACGTTCGGGCGTTCGGGTTTGGGCGTTCGGCCCATCCCGAACGCCGGCAACCCTGGTTATACATATATAAAAATTAAAATTCAAAAAGTCAGTAGATGAGTTTAGGAATCCTGCTCATTTTTGGCATAGTGTCACCCCGCAGAACCTGTCCCATTAACCAACACGGAATCTGCCCATAACATAAGCCTAAATTCTAAATCCATAACTGCTTCATTTTTCGCAGAACGTTTTGTCGGTTCTTGTTTTCTTGTAGTCCTTTACAGCCTGTCATACTTTGCATGACCCCATTGAGTCAACCACCCATAACTCATTCATAACCCCCGCATAATAACTCACCTGTAACTCACTCATAGTAACTCGCCCATAACTCACCCATAGTTAACCCATTGTTGGCATGACCAATTGTTTGCATCATCCGGTGGGTCTGTTGCTATTGGGTGCATAACGTACGTGCTTAATGGTCCTTGGCACATGGGCAGATCAGTACAGGGCAGGGTAGATGAGGCAGGGATCGTTGAATTGATTTTGACATCCGACCCAGGCCTGTGTTATAGAATTTTCTGTAGATAGATCTTCGGGTCCTGTTTAGGGACTGAAGAGGCTAATGTATTGTAGTCAGATCTTTGCATGTTACAGACAGCTCTAATGTATTATTGTGGACGCTAGACCCACTTTCCAGCAGGTGTAGGTCCCCACCAATAGATTAGAGCCACCTACAGGATAATTAGGAGTGTATACTCTGGGCACATATGTGCGCAAACTCCACAAACAAAAAAAGAACAGTTGTCTGAATCCAGTTTGAAGGGAGAAGATTAAATTGGAATCGATATGAACTCTCACAC